GTGCCGGAGGGAGGGCGGAGAGCCCGCCGCGGCTCCACTCTCCCAGGCGGCCAGAGTGCTGGGGGGAGGCCGGAGAGCCCAGCCGGGGCTCCGCTCTCCCCGGCGTCCGGAGCCGGAGCACCATGCCGCCACCCTCCAGGTGCCGCCCCAAGCACAAGCTTGGTGGGCTGGTGCCTGGAGCAGGCCCTGCTAGCAGTTGCCAGGCTGGAAGAGACGAGTGGCCCATCTAAGTCAGTATCCTGTCTCAGTGAGTGTCACTCACCAGCTGCTTCAGAAGAAAGCAGAAGAACAATGAATTAGTCCTTTAAACAGCAAATTTAGGGAGTTTCTTCGAAAATCCTGAATTAAAAATTGGGGGTGAAATTTTTCAGAGCTCCCTAGGGGATTTGAATGCCCAAGTTCCAATTAAAATCCAGAGGATCTACTCTCCCTAATGTATGTCTTGCTCTGAAAAGCCAAACATTAATTTCTGAAGCATGAAGAAACAAACTCCTGCAACCTGATAATGAAAAAACAATTGAAAACCCTAACCCCCCCCCATTGCTATGAATCACAGAGTGTCTGTGCAAGATTCAGTCCTAAATTAAAAGGATCCCTAGCACATGGTGTGAATGGCTATGGACAGCGTGAGTGGAACAGGACTTTTTAGTTCACACAGGAGAATAAGTACAAGTGGTTAGAAGACTCCTGAGCCATGAGTGTTTTCAGACAGTTTTTTAAGACTGCCTGGAGGACTCGAGCGGCCCTTTGCTCCTGAAGATCTAATTAGTTACAGACCAAATTTAGATAACTTCTTCCATTGATTTCATATTTTTCCGCTGTTTTACACAGTCAGTTTGTTCTTAACTCCACGTGGTCTGATGTGCACATTACACCCTGCAGCTCTTTCATCTGCAAGCTGGAGCTACAGGAGAATTCCCCGTAACTGTCCCCTTTCTAGGGCAGCTAAACCTGGTGAGGAAAATACCTGTGGGTGGTGCTTTAAGGGGCCTGCAGTTCCTGCTTTGGGGTGGGATTTTTTTTTTAATATGAAGATATACCTATCTAATAGAACTGGAAGGGACCTTGAAAAGTCATCAAGTCCAGTCCCCTGCCTTCACAGCAGGACCAAGTACCGTCCCTGACAGATTATTGACCCAGATCCCTAAATGGCCCTAAATTTACTGCCATCTCCCTTTCAGAGTAAGTTTTAATCTATTGATGTGCACGGTTTGCACCGTTCCTCTGCTGCTGGGCTTCCTTACATCAGATGTGACGGCATTCGCCCCTTCAATCTCCTTAAACAGTCCTTCCCAATCATCCTGCCTTTTTCCCCCATCACTGGGGTCAGCACTAACACCAAATCAGCCGTGTCAAATGATCTTTCTCCTGTTCGCTGACCATAATAAACTTGCTGAGTTCCCTGACTTGTTTCAAGGGTCAGTTTTCCTCAATTCCTCATTACCTGTCAATTCTCCTTAAAACGAGTGACATACTCCCCTACAGGCTCTCCTCTTTCCTCAGTACTGCCCTCCCCAGAGCGTCCAATCAAATCTAAGGCTCCCCTAACCTGCTTCCCAGACAGGAGATCAAAAGGGGCAAAGCCAGTAGATTCTGTGGGAACACTTCTGTCTGCATTGAGCAAATAATGAAGTAAAACGTCCCAATCATTCTCATGCCTGGTGATGTATGTTCTTAGCATAGCTTTTAAAGTTTCATTAAATCTTTCTGCAAATCCATTAATTCGGGGGTGATAGGGAGCAGCCTTTATATGCTTTCCTCCACATCATTCCCATGACTTTTGAAAGACTACAGACATGGAATTTGTACCTCAGTCTGTCAAGATTTGTCTGGGAAAAACTATTCTGCTAAAAATAGTGAATAAAGCTGTAGCCACTGGTAAGCCTATTCCACATCTTAACTACCTGTAGAGTTCGTTTTTTCCTAATATCTAACCCAGTTTTCTCCAAACTTTTTATGCCGAAGATCACATTTTGAATTTAAGGGCAACCCAGGATCTATCCCACCCCTTCCCCAAAGTCCTGCTCCACTCATACCAACCCCCCCCCCCAGCCCGTCGTTCGCTCTCCCCATCCTCACTCACTTTCACCAGGCTGGGGTAAGGGGTTGGGATTTGGGAGAGGTGGGGGCTCTGGTCTGGGGCTGAAAGGTTCGCAGTGGGGGTTGAGCCTGGGGCAGTGTTGGGGTGCAGGGGGGGTGCGGGGTGCTGGCTCTGGGAGGGAGTTTCAGTGTAGGAGGGGTCTCTGGGCTGGGGCAGAGTGTTGGGATGCAGGAGGGG